AATTATCTTTATTAACATATAATGTATTATTTGCCCCAGGGGTACAGATATGTGAATGGTCAGGCTAACACCTTTCCCAGCACTCCCCATAGCCCATACCCTCCCCAATGTCCATAACCCAACCACCCTATCCCTACCCCTCCACGCCCCCCAGCAACCCTCAGTCTGTTTTGTAAGATTAAGAGTCTCTTATGTTGGTCTCCCTCCTGATCCCATCTTGTTTCATATTTTCCTTCCTTACCACCACCAACGCCCCAGCCCTGCCTCTCAAATTCCTCATATCAGAGAGATCATATGATAATTGTCTTCTCTGATTGACTTATTTCGCTCAGCATAACACCTTCTAGTTCCATCCACATCACTGCAAATGGCAAGATTTCATTTCTTTTGATGGCTACATATATTCCACTGTATGTATATACCACATCTTTATCCATTCATTTGTGGATGGACATCTAGGTTCTTTCCATAGTTTGGCTATTGTGGACATTGCTGCTATGAACATTCGGGTGCATGTGACCCTTCGGATCACTACATTTGTGTCTTCAGGGTAAATACCCAGTAGTGTGATTGCTGGGTCGTAGGGTAGCTCTATTTTCAACTTTTTGAAGAACCTCCATGCTGTTTTCCAGAGTGGCTGTACCAGCTTGCATTCCCACTCTATTATATAGTTTTAAAATCACATATTTAATATCTATAAACAATGTATTGCATTGTTTTGGTTTTCAAAAGTACATGCATGGTGGGACTCAGTGGGTTAAGCTTCTGCCTTCAACTCAGATCGTGAACTCAGGGTCCTGGGATCAAGCCCCAAAGCAGGGTCCCTGCTCAGCAGAGAGTCTGCTTCTCCCTCTTCCTCTGCTTCTCCCCCTGCTCGTGCTCTCTCTCTCTCAAATAAATAAATAAAATCTTTTTTTTTTAAAAGTACATGCATATCTTCATGCTGTATGTACAATTCTGTGACCTGGTTCTTTCATCCAGCATTGTGTCTTGAGGTCTCTCCATGCTACTTTATAGATCTCTAGCTCATTGCCGCTAGTTTTGAACACTCTGCTATTACACAACACTATTTACTTATCCTTCTCCCCCTACAGATGGTCATTCACAGCAGGGCCAATTTTTTTTTTTTATGATTACAAATAGTGCCTCAGCGAATGTCCTTGGACATATCTCCAGGTACAAATGTGTGAGAATTTCTCTAGGGTAGATTCCAAGAAACGGGTTGTGCTCATTTTCAACTTCACCAATTGCCAAGTTGCTCTCCAAAGTAATTATATCAACAATACTTCATAAAATTTTCTTTCTTCTTTTCCCAACCACAGTCCCCACGTATTACAACTGCCTCCCCACTTTTCTGCATCACCACTCCTGAACGCTCCCCCACAGAAACGCTCCTCCAGCCCGTAGCCCCCACTCCAGCTCTTACAAAAGCCCGAGAACTGGTCTGGAAAGGCCTGAGTGAGGTCAAGGGAGGACCTGAGTCAAGCAGAGCAGAGACAAGGGTGCGGGGGAGGATTCGAGAATTTCTGGAACCAGCACGAGGTCATCATTCATGTTGAGTCAGAGGGATTTTGCCAGGTGACACGTAACAGGTGTTTTCAGGCCACTACTTCTTCCCAATGGGTCAGGGAAGGACCCTTGGACAGTTTCCCCTTGGACAGTTTATTTTAGAATAAAGGGCAGTCAGACCTAAAAAATTCTACCCTGTGGAGCTCCTGAGGGCCTCCCACCCAGCCTCAGAGGGAGGCTAACTGCTGACACCCTCCTCATGGATGGGCAACAGGGAGTTAGGAAATCTTACCTTAAAGTGTCAACAACTTGATCAATAATTCAGTGTTCTTGGGGCGCCTGGGTGGCTCAGTGGGTTAAAGCCTCTGCCTTTGGCTCAGGGCATGATCCCAGGGTCCCGGAATCGAGCCCCGAGTCGGGCTCTCTGCTCAGCGGGGAGCCTGCTTCCTCCTCTCTCTTTGTCTGCCTCTCTGTCTACTTGTGATCTCTGTCTGTCAAATAAATAAATAAAATCTTAAAAAAATAATTCAGTGTTCTCTTTTTAATCTCCAAGTCTTGACGATTCAAATCCTTTAAAAACCATATAGTCAATAATTTAATTTTTTATAAAAAGATTTATTTGGGAGAGAGAGAGACAAAGAAAGCACAAGCATGGGAAGGGACAGAGGACAGGGAGAAGCAGACTCCTCACTGTGAACAGAGGGCTCGATCCCAGGACACCAGGACCATGACCCGAGCCGAAGGCAGATGTTTAACCCACTGAGCCACCGAGGCACCCCAATAATTTGATTTTTTTAAGTAATGATTAGAGCATCAATGCCAACAACTTATTTTAGTTTTCTAAATCATGAAGAAAATCTCCATTTTTAAAAAGCATAATGTCAACACTTTATTTTTTTTTAAAGATTTTATTTATTTGACAGGGAGAGATCACAAGTAGGCAGAGAGGAAGGCAGAGGAAGAGGGGAAGCAGGCTCCCTGCTGAGCACAGAGTCCCACCTGGGACTCGGACTCGACTCCAGGATCCTGGGATCATGACCTGAGCTGAAGGCAGAGGCTTTAACCCACTGAGCCGCCCAGGCACCCCTCAACACTTGTTTTATAATGTCCTGCAGCACTCGGAAATATACTACTCATGTGGGGTTTTGTTTGTTTGTTTAAAGATTTTATTTATTTATTTGTCAGGGAGAGACAGAGAGCACAAGCAGGGGGAGCAGCAGGCAGAGGGAGAAGCAGGCTCCCACAGAGCAGGGGAAGCCCGATGTGGGACTCAATCCCAGGAACCTGAGCTGAAGGCCATTGCTTAACCAATTGATCTGTCCAGGTGCCCTCGATAAACATTTATCCGGCCTGTGCTCAGTTTTAGGCATCAGAGACATGATGATGGGATAGTCACAGGTTTTGGCCCTGTGGCCAATTCTTCGAGTGGGTGAGATAGAAAATAAACAGATAATAACAATCCAGAGCAACAGGCTAGGAAGGGACTGTGTGGATGCCTTTAGAAGGGTTGGGGGGACAGCAAAGGCTGCTCGAGAGAGGCTCCATTTGAACTGGAACCTGGATGAACAGGTGTCAGGAAAGGGTACCACGAGCAGAGATCACCAAAGAGGTGAAGATGAGCTTCTTGGGTTTGCAAAATAACTAGAAGGCCAGAGTGCCTGGAGCAGAGTGAGTGAATAACGGTGGGGAAAGATGAGGCATGTGGTGGCAAAGCACAAAGCTTCCATTTTTATCCTGAACGCTCTGATAACCTTACATAGAGCCACAACATATATACTTTTCATATACATTCATAAACCTTTAAAATTGGAGCTGCTCTGGGACCTAAAGCGCTCCCCTGTCTCGCACTCCCACCCCACTCCAGCAGTCTTCTGAAGCAGTCCTAAGGAATCTAAGAATTGGAATGGGGGTGAGGGGAGGGCACCTAGAGGTCCTTAATGTAGTCCAACCCTCTCACTTTACAGATGGAGAAACCAAGGCTGAGAGGAGGTGAAAGGTGGAAACTGCTCTGTAGGCGTGAGTGGGGTAAGGGCCACAGTCACTAGTGGAGGTAGGACTAAGGGCACAGGAAGGAGCTCTGGTTATCTAACCATCAGCTGGAGTATCTGGCAATCTAGAGGTTTACTGACCCGAAGTGGCAGTGTAGACAAAAGGCACATCCTCTTCCCCAGGGACATTGGCTGGGGGTGAGATGGGGTGGAGCTGGGGGTGTGGGAGGTTACCTGGAGCGTAGGGAGGGTTTGGGGGTAAGGGTCGTGATAATTCAGCAGGGGTTTTGGAAGTGCCCCTCTAATTCCTTAGCCTGTCCCATTTGGGTAGGGCAAATGGGTAGAGAGATAGGGACAGGCGCTCAGGTGGCCTACCTAACAGCCCAGTCCCTTCCCCTTCAAGGTTAAGAGCAAGGACATGGGAGGGCTGTCTCCGTTAGCATCTTTGCACTTCCTCTCACAAGCTGTGCTATCTTACCATGCGTGCTTCCGACTCAAATCCAGGCAAAACCCAGACGCGAACCAGCAAAGTGTGACTTCAAATCTTCAGTTCTTAACCATCAGCAATTGGTAAGTAAGTCTTGAGGAAGAGGCACACAGGGTTAAGCCCAAGCCTTCCATACACAGGACAGACAGACCGGCAAACCCACGCAGACACATGCCCACTTCTGTCTGCGTAGACTTCTGTCTGTGCCCACTCCCTCCCATGAAGTGACTCCAAGGGGGGCGCCACACAGGACCACTGCTTCCAAACAGCAGCCACCCAGCCCTCTATTCTGGTTTCTTCCCTCTGGGTGGTGCAAAGGCTCAAGGGTGTAACCTCAGGGTGGGGCGGTGAGTCAGCTGCGGGCGGCCACACTGGAGTGTCCCAATTTCCCGCTTCGACCTCTTTCCACCTCGCGGCTGCAAACTGCGGCTTAAAAAAATCAGAGAACTTCGCCTAAGCGGAGAAGCTACCTAGGCGTTACCCAAAGCTCCGCACGGTAGGAAGAACCGAGACGGAAGGCCCAAAGCCCATCACGGGTTAAAACCACGGAGCCGCAGAGTACCGCCGAGGCCTAGAGAGGCCGCGCCCCTCTACCCTGTTTCCCTCCCCTTCATTTCCAACTTCCGGGCGGGGAGCCACTTCCGGTTCCGGCGGCTGGCTACAAAGCTTTGCGCTGGGGAGGTGGTTTCCTTTTTTCGGAGTCGGTTTCGGGCTTTGAGTCGGCTCTCGAGGAGCCCCCGCCCCCGTTCCCCCCACCCTCCGAGGTGGCACCTGCGCAGGTGAACGTCCCCTCCCTCCTTCCCTCCATCCCTCCCGACCGCCTCTCTTTTCCGGGCGCACGGTCTGTTGGGAGTGGGGGGCCGCGGCGGCGGTGGCGGTCGGCCTCGGAGCCGAGAAGCCCTGCTCGGGGACTCTGCAGGCCGCTCGGGCTAGAGTGGCATTGGAGCTCGCTTCAGCTCGGGAGGAGGAGGTCCTGGTCTGAACCCCCAGAAGTCTTTTTCCGGTCGAACCTAGACCCTCCGAGCCGCGCCCATGTGGTGGGAGGAGCCCGGCTCCACTCCCCGCCTAGACGCCGGGAAATTTCTACTCAGCGGGGTGGTCCCACCTCCTTGGTCTTGTGACCTTGGGCAGATTCCCCTCTCATCAGGCCTTAGTTTGGTTACGTGTGAATGGAAGTGACAGTAACTGTCCCTTCTGGGTTATGGGGAGGATTGGATGAGGGGAAAGCGTCCGCGGAGTGTCTGGCGGGTAAAACTCAAATAGCATCGGCTGCTGCTGTTAATAGAGACAGCTGGGGCAGTAGAGAGTCGTATCCGGAGTTTAACTAGAGTGGCTGGGAGGATCACGTAGCGGAATGTAAATTGCCTAGCACAGTGTCAGCTAGGAAGTAAGTGCTCAGTAAGTCGGCATTATTAACGGATGAGGGTGAGCATTGTGTCTGGTCATTGATCTTCAAAAACTGATAGGATTTATAAGCTTTATAACTAAATCGTGGAGTTTGTCCATTTTTCAAATCCAGCCTTGAGAACTGGCCTCCTGACAACTGAGACTATTCTTAGAAGTCGGGGTTGTAAAGACCTCTGGGGCTGGGTGCTAGAAGTATTAATAAAAGGGTGTTTTCCTAAGCGTGTTACGGGTTTTTCCCTCGGAAGGGTTTTGGGCGGGTGCAGAATGTTTGCTTCCTTTGAATTAGGAAAGTAATACATAGTTGCAGTTAAAAAGAAAGCAATATAGAAAGATAGGGAATGGAAAATGTTTCTTCTGTCCCTGCCCCTCAAAAGTAAGTACAGTTGAAGGTAGCGTTTGTGATAGATCGGGTCATCTGTGCTTGTGTATGTATTTTAATTTCCCCGGGTGGGATCATACGTCAGGTGGTGACGTGTTATGGATGCCTGTTTGTATTAGCACTCACAGGCGGAGTTCATGCTTCATAAGATTGCCCTTATTCCGTTAAATGGCCGAATTATTTCCCTGTTGATGGTCACTTAGGTTGTTCCCAGGATTTTGCTGTCTCACATTTCATCCAACCTTTCCTTGACTAAATATTTCCTTTTTTTCCCAAGGCACCCCTGAGTTACGGGGATGTTTTGCTTTGGGCTTCATCATGCTAGGTTAGTGACAGCTTACTTTTGGGGAAGAGAACATGCTGTTGATACAGCAAAAACCCAGTAGTATGAAAAGAATAAGTGTGTTCTAGGAATATCTAAACGGCAGGGTCTGGAATCAATTCAGGTTTTCTAGAAAATGGGTTATGAAACATTTGAAGAAGAGGTGACTAGGATCTGAGAACTAGTTAATGCAAGGCAGCTGGTCAGTGTTGGTGATTGTTGGTCTCTGTCAGTTGTTACCAGAAAACAGATTTGAGACAGTCTCTGAGTCCGAAGAAATTTTAAATGTCAGAACTCCTGCTTCATGGACTGGGGAGGAATTAGATCTTGGGGGAGGGCGTTTGTTAATAAAAAAAAGAGATGACCTTTGAAAACTGAGCACATCATAGGAGTCGTACTCTTTGATTAGACATACCCGGATGTGGAAATTAATTTAGTCATTTCTGTACTGTCACTTGAAGTCTCTCTCTCCCTCTCTTTTAATAACATAGATTGTGGTTTTCCTATACGTAACCTTTCTCTTGGATTGGGGCCCTAACCCAAATGAAACAAAGCCTTTTTTTCCTAGCATTTTACACGTATTTAGTGTGCCCCTCCTCCCCTGCCCCACTCCAGCTGGTTTGCTAATCTTAGTGCTGACAATCATCCGGAGTTGGACATGTATGCTACTAGAATTCTGACTAGTTCAGTTTTCCATATACTGATTAGAGGAACTTAGAGATTTTATTTGTTTGGGAGAGGGAGAGAAAGAGCATGCATGCATGCACACAAGAGCCCATACCTTGGAGCACAGGGAGGGGCTGAGAGAGAAAGAAAGGGAGAAGCTCCAGCAGAATCCCTGCTGAACATGGAGATCATGACCTCCTGCTGAAATCCCAGAGTCAGGCTTCAACCAACTGAGCCACCGGGGCAGCCCTGATGAGCTGATTAGAGGAACTTAGGATCTTGATCTTAGCACAGAGGCTTTTCTATTCCTTCCTTTCCTTTTTTGTGAAGAGGGGATTTAGGTTTAACCCTGATGGTAGCTCCTAAAGTACTTTTTTTTTTTTAAGATTTTATTTATTTATTTGACAGAGATCACAAGTAGGCAGAGAGACCCACAGAGAGAGAGAGGAAGGGAAGCAGGCTCCCTGCTGAGCAGAGAGCCCGACGTGTGGCTTGATCCCAGGACCCTGAGATCATGACCTGAACTGAAGGCAGAGGCTTTAACCCACTGAGCCACCCAGGTGTCTCTAAAGTACTTTTTATTTTATTTATTTTTAAAGATTTCATTTATTTGAGAGAGTGAGTGAGCAAGTGAGCAGGAGCATGGAGGGGGTGGTGAGAGGGAGAAGCAGGCGCCCCACCAAACGGGGAGCCTGACCTGGGGCTTGATCCCAAGACCCTGAGATCATGATCTGAGCCCAAGGCAGATGCTTAACTGGCTGAGCCACCCAGGTGCCCCCTAAAGTACTTTTTAACACTTGTTATTCTTTCATCATAAAAGAGATTGGGTGGGGGGGGTCAGAAAAGACAGCAGAGTAGATGTCAGTGAAGAGACCTTTATCTTATGTTTTCAGTAGTTCCTCACAACTTGCTTTTGGACATGCACAACTCCATAAAAGACATTGGTGGAAGCAAACACCTGTGATTTTAAAGATTCTCCCTCCTGGGGCGCCTGGGTGGCTCAGTGGGTTAAAGCCTCTGCCTTCGGTCAGGTCATGATCTCAGGTTTCTGGGATTGAGCCCCGCATCAGGCTCTCTGCTCAGCGGGGAGCCTGCTTCCTCCTCTCTCCCTGCCTGCCTCACTGACTACTTGCAATCTCTGTCAAATAAATAAATAAAATCTTAAAAAAAAAAAAAAAAAGATTCTCCTATAAATCATGTGAATGCATAGTTTTTTATTTTAACATAATGTAAAATACTTTGTAATGCAGGGAAAATGAATGAAATATTCCTTACAAGATTCTCTGGTTAGTGAGGCCGGCATTCTTCATCCTCTCTGCTTTGAGAATCTACATTCTTCATTTTGGTAAACTACTGCCACATTTTTCTCAATTGTGTCAATTGATCCAGAGGAAACAAAAATAGAATTTCTAGTAGCTTTATTAAGAAATCCTGTTAAGATTGGAAAGCTGATAGAACTTGGGTCTGGAACAGATCCACAAGATCAAGGTGGTTTTAACAGTCTCTGGTCTGTTTTTGCTGAGCCTGTCTTTTCTCTGTGTTTAGGAGTTTTCGACCTCCTTTTCCAGAGTTCCAGAATGGAGACTGAAGGGTACCTAGAGGCACAAAGAAATAGAGAGGTCCAGAATGATAAATTGAGGTCACCATCAAATGAGATGATGGCTGAGGAGCCAGAAGTTGTCCTAATACCGGCTACCCAGGTCCAGGCTCCACGAGAGCCTTCTGGGCTTCCACAAGAGAGCCTTGATGAAGACTCTGTCGAAGACCTTGAGACCATGCCACGAAGGAATCCTCCCAACGCGGCAGCCTCCAGGCAGAGGTTCCGGAAATTCCGCTATGAAGATGGAGCTGGGCCCAGGGATGTCCTCAGACATCTGCAGGAGCTTGCCGGACAGTGGCTGAGACCCGATATTCACACAAAGGAGCAGATTGTGGAGATGCTGGTACAGGAGCAGTTCCAGGCTGTCCTGCCCGAGGAGCTCAGAGCTCGGGCCCAGAGATGTCAGCCTGGGGTCAGAATCACTGGCTAAATCCTGCCACAGGGTTCTTGCTCAGCCTACACATGAGAAGTAACCAAACGTTCTCTTTGTTGCAGGAGCCAACAACAGTCATGGAGAAATGTGAACCTCGGGGGTTTTTTTGTTTTTGTTTTTTTTCTTTCGGCTTGCCTTTGACTAGTTGTAATAAGAACCCATCAGAACCCATGTTTGGACCTCTCTCCGGCGGAGGCAGCTCTAATTCCTGGGACTGAGCTCCAGAAAGAGCTTCTGTTAGGACCCTCTTGTTAGGACAATCAGCCTGTTGCTTGTTCTTGCTCTGCTGAATGCCTCCTTTTTTGCACTTTCTGACATGCTTTAATATATTGTTATGTATCCAAAGAGGTAATTGCTTCAACTTTCAGAATTCTTGATTCTTGCTGTGGCGGCATGAATGGAAGCTTCTGTAACCCCACCAGTAACTCATCTTAGATGTCCTTGAACTATTAAAAGTTTAGTGCTTAATCACAATGTCCTGTGGTGATTTACCAATTTAGCTTTGACTCAGCATTTGAGAAAGTTGAGATAATTATCAGGAGTAGATGTGAGCTAGAGATAAGACAGGAGCAGGTCAGCCCTTTGTGTGCAGTCAGAATTTAAATTCCAGCTGAGAAGGGGATAAAACAGGGTCCTCCAAGGCGAGTAACTCTTGGATCTGTTTGATTTGCTCTCCCTGTTTCCATGGCCTGTGTTCCACAGCTTGTCACCCCCACAAGAGAACTAAAGCATCTGACCATTCTCTGCTGCTCCTCCTGAAGCAGGTCACCCTACTTTTTGTGTGTGGAGACGTGTGCTTTGGTTGACGGCTGAGAAAGCAGTCCGTAGCTGTGGTTATGTTAGAGAGTAAATAGCAGCTGCTTTTCCTCAGTGTGACCCAGTCTTGAGGAACCTTTCTGCCTCTGTGGCCTGGCTGTTGGATTTTTACATCTGCTGTAATCAACTTGCTGCCAGTTCAGAAACTGATCTTTGGAAGAGGGACTGGTTAGCTCCAAGCTGGAACTCGTGTTTATTCTGCCGGTGTGTTAATACTTCCTGTGCCTTCCGGACTGGTCTAGATACTAGGACACAAATACAAAACCCAGTGAAGAAGAAATGTATAGTTTTTTGAAGAGAGAGGAAGATGTTGAGCTCTATGGGTAGGATCATTAGTAAAACTAGTCTTCCTTTTTTTTTTTTTAAGATTTTGTTTATTTGAGAGAAAGCATGTGCAGGGGTAAAGACAGTGGGAGAGGGAGCAGAACAAGCAGAACTTCCCCTTGCTGAGCACAGAGCCTGATGTGGGGCTCAATCCCAGGACCCTGAGATCCTGACCTGAGCCAAAGTCAGACATTTGAATGAACCACCCAGGTGCTCCAAAAACATTTCCTATTTAAACATGCACGCACGCACTCTCTCTCTCTCTCTCTCTCTCTCTCTCAAAGCAGAGGAGAGAGGAAATAGCCAAGTTAGGGAAGTGAGATTTTTTTTTTTTTAAGATTTTATTTATTTATTTGATAGAGATCACAAGTAGGCAGAGAGAGAGGGGAAGTAGGCTCCCTGCTCAGCAGAGAGCCTGATGTACGGAGCTCGATTCCAGGACCCTGAGACCATGACTTTAGCCGAAGGCAGAGGCTTTGACCCACTGAGCCACCCAGGTGCCCTGAGAAGTGAGATTTTAATTGGACTTGGGTGGGAGATGACAGAATCCCACCTTGAGACAAAGTGTGGAAATGCTTGGGGAATAGCAAACATACAGAAGGGTGAACTGTGCCTTTTTTTTAACTAGGTTAAGCTTTTCTTTCTTTTTAAAACCATTTTATTTTTTAAAGATTTTATGTATTTGATAGCACAAGCCAGGGGGAGCAGCAGGCAGGGAGAGGGAGGAGCAGGCTTCCCCCTGAGCAGGGAGCTGGATGCATGGCTCGAATCCAGGACCCTGGGAATGTGACCTGAGCTAAAGGCAGATGCTTAACCATCTGAGCTACCCAGGTAGCCCTAAAACCATTTTAATTTAAAGATTTTATTTTTTATCAAGTCCTCTCTACAGACCCAACGTGGGTCTCAATCTGACAACCCTGAGATCGTCAGTCTGACTGAGCCATCTAGGTGCCGCATAGGTGAATTTCTAGTCCTAATTCTAAGAGTAAAATTTAACATTGGCAAAGGAGTTAGGAACCACGGTAGGGTTGGAGTATCTTCAATACTTTAATTTGTTCAGAGCATTATGAAAGTATTTCCTTTAGTCTGCCAAGATCAAGAACTCCTGGTGTTAAGAATTTCCTGGCCTGTACCCGTTTCTCAGCTGCTTTGGTGATCTGGAATATACTGTTAAGTAAAGGAGCCTACTTTCCCGGTGGACCCAGAAGTTACCACCTTCGGGATTGTATGGCTTGACGGCGGAAATGTCCTAAGTTAATGTAGCACAGATTTTCTCAACATGGGCAATTTGGAGCCAGAGAATTCTCTTCTGTGGAGGCTTGTCTTGGGCATTACAGGATGTTCAGCAGCATCTGTAGTCTCTCCTCATCAGCTGCTGACAGCACCGCACTGAAGAGACAACCAAAAATGTCTCCAGACATTGCCAAATGTTCCTCGGGGGCAAACTGGCCTTTAGTTGAAAACTGGCTAAACAGGAGAGTTGGTCACGGATACGCCACAGTTACCTTGGGATCCCTGGTCTCTTAAGCTTCATGTTGAATTGAGAAAGCTCTACGGTATAAGTTGGGTTTCATGTTGGAGTGTCCAGCTGGTTCAGCTGGTAGAGCGTGCGACTGAATCTCAGGGTCATGAGTTCAAGCCACACTTTGGGCATGGAGGCTACTTAAAAAAGTTGGGTTTCATATTCCCTGCATATGTTTGGGTAATATCACCTACTCTGGCAAATCTTAAATTCTTTGCTACAAGGATTAAAATGATCCCTCCAACTCTTGCCATTCTATTGAGATGGTTTACCATGTGCTAGGATAGATGCATTTGTGATTCATTTAATCCTTATTGTCATCTGACTTCACCTATTTATATAAATATACCTGCTTTACAAATAAGAAAACGAGGTTTGCCAGCTACTAGATGGCCAAGAAAATGGTGAAGATGGGATCTAAGCCTGGGATTTCTGTCCCCCTCATCTTGGGCTTTTTCTATCATGTCTGGAAGTAGGACTTGAACAAGCATCTCTTGAGAATCTCCTGCATGCAAGATGTTTCTTCTTTTCCTTTTTCCCTTCTTTATCTTACAATTTTTTCAGATTTTATTTGAGAGAGAGGGAGAGAGCTCAAGCAGGGGGAGGGACAGAGGGAAAAGGAGAGGCAGATTCCCTGCTGTGCAGGGAGCCAGACTGGGGGCCTCATCCCAGGATCCTGGGATCATGACCTGATCCCAGGTCATCTTACAATTTAGCATAACATTCCCTAGCTTCATTTGATAGAGAAAAAGTATAAAAACAAAAATGGCCCATAATCTCACTTCCTAGGGAATTCCCATTGACATTTTTCAAAGCAGAAAATATATCTGCAAGTGGATAGAAAAGTCCAAAAAGTATGGAAGGGAATAAAAGGAAAATGTAAAGCCTCTTCCCATTAACAGTCTGTTACAAATCTTTCCAGAAGTTACCAGTTACACAGATGTAATCATACACATGTGGGTGCACACAGGCATATGTCCCTTTTTTATTTACACGAAATGCATGTTTAGGTTATATATTTTTCTTGACCAGTAGGTCTTGGTGTCTGTTGCTATCAACATACAGAGATTTGCTTCATTTAAAAAAAATTTTAAGCAGCTGCAGAGTAGTTCCTTCTATGGCTAATACTTAGCTTTGTACTTTCAGAAAAAAAAAAAATGCAAGGGAGAGGATTTAGGTATGGGGTCAAACCTCTAAAGCATAAGATGTTTAGAGAGGTAAGTGACAGCCACAACTCAACCCCACAACCTCCACACCCTGACAGCAGAACTGGTACAATTCAGAGCGCCCTAGCACCATGTCCTGGCAACCCTGTGGTCCGAGCTCTTTCCCATGGAAGTGAATTTACAGATGAGGCTCCTTTCCCCCAGACAAACCCAGTAAGAGGAGAGGCTGGAGTCCATCTCCATTTCATCTGGCTCCAGCCCCATGCCCTTGTCCTGAGGTCACACTGCCTGGATATCAAAGAGCAGACCAAGTCCAGCATTTTGAGAGCTCTGTGGGGATTTGAGAGAACAGTAATTCCCTGTCTCTCTTGCCACCACCCGAGATGATTCCTGTGCTTTCTCTTTGCAGTCTGCATGACCCAGCTACTGCTAATGTCTGTCATTGTCATTAAAAAAAAAAAAAAAAAAAAAAAAGATTCATTTAGTTATTAAGGAGGGAGAGAGAGCACAAGCTGGGGGAGGGGCACAGGGAGAGAATCTCAAGCAGATCCCCCCTGAGGGTGAAGCCTGATGTGGGGCTGATCTGTGATCGATGAGATCATGATCTGAGCTGAAACCCGATGCCCAACCACTGAGCCACCCAGGCACCCCTGTCATTGTCATTTCTTGAGTCCATCTAGAGCCCAGTTCTAAAGAACCCTAAACACTTTGAATTCTGTGAGAGGAAGGAGGAGGAAAATGCGGAACAACCCGAGGGAAGTCCTTCTCAACTGTACCCTGTGTCTAACTTTCCCTTTGTGATTGTTTTGATTCCCAAGTTCTGCAAAAGAATAATTTCATCTAGTTATTGAAAAATGCTCCTGCCAGATGGCTACTGGTGAAAACCAGTGTTAGGACCACAAGGTAATTTGAGATTCTGAGCAACTGGCTGGTGCCATGGAAAAATATGTCATCTATTGGGCAACTACTCCCTGAGCAGTGAGTGGGTGCCAGGGCCTGGCTGCCCTAGAGGAGGCCAGCTCTGCGGGGTGTGGGGACCATGAGGAGTCCACTGTGATGGTGGCGGCGCCTGGAGCACTCAAGTGTAGCTGGCCCTTCCAGGAGCATCATGTGTGGTCACTTTCCACGGGCAGCTCAGCTCAACGTTCTTGACAATGGCTTGACTATTTTGCTAAGCATTTTCCACCCACTGCCAGGCATTTATTGGACATTTTCCCTTGGCCTGGAATGCCTCTCTCCTATGCCTCCCCCAATCTTTGCCAGCCTACTACTACTCATTTTTTATGACGCAGATTGGCAGGGTCCCCTGCATGAAGCCTTCTTTGATTTCTGGGTCAAATTAGCATCAGAAGCCCTCCTGTGAGCTCCCCTAAACACCTCAGCTTTAGTTACAGTCCCTGTTCATTCAGCAAATGTATGTAGTGTACTCGATATGCCATGCCCTATTCTAGGGATCACGATGGCACAGTGTCCGGGCTGTGCCCCCAGGCAGTTTGTGGGCTCCCTCAAGAGAGAATTTCTGTGTTCTTGGCCTCCAGTGCAGGGCCTACCCATGGTGGATCCTCAAGGAACAGTTTGATTTTTGTAGGAGACACCTGATCACTGCCTGGTTGAAAGCTCTTCTTTCTAGTGAACGAAAA